ACTCAGTTACCACGAAAATGTGTTTTTCCGTGGTTTTAAATTGGAAAAGAAAACAAAATTGGGCTTATATTATGATATTTCTTCTGACTTTTCTCATTTTTCTCTATTACTACTCGGGGCCAGGTTTTATGGACCACGCAAAGCGTGAAGGAGAAGAGAATAACATCGCCTTTGTCATGGAGGTGAAGCCGACCAAAGATGGTTCCCAAAGTCGGTTCGTCTACCGATTCAAACAATGCTTAGCTTCTGTCTGTCAACGCTCCAGCATTAATCTCACAGTCTACATCTTCTCCAATCCACTAGGCAAAGACGAGTCTTTGAAAGTTCTCGAAGAAATAGCTCCTTATTGCACCATTAGCTACAGGGTAAAATTCTACGATGTCGATGAGGTGATAAGAAACATTCTACCATCTATAAACGTGATTAAGGTGAGTGAATGTCATTTAACGATTTAAACGAGATTTGCATATTGTAGATGCTGATTTAAGAATCACAAAATAGGGTCAAAATACATTCAGACCGCGGGAATGTTAAGAAGGAATCCACTAGAAGTTCGAGTAACAAGCGGACAAAAACTTTGTACCGAGATTACACACATCGTATTGCAAACTTCTGTGCGACTGTATAAATATCTTCTCAAAAGAAATCATTTCTAACAACACCAAATCTCGAGAACAAATTTTGAAGTTCATATGAAACATTTGACAGTGCTGGTGAAATGAAACTAAATTTCTCTGAATTTCTCTGAACTTGGAAATTTATTTTCTCAAGTTCCCACGGGAAATTGTTTGTGGTGCTATTACAGGTCTCTGCTTATATCTTTAGGTTTAGGACTGTTAAATACCTAAAATTATTCTGGTACAAGGTTTCTGTCCACTAAAAACTTAAATTGCTCGATTTCCTATCGGACTTGGCCTTAAGTGTTCTCTAAGATACAACTAATTTCGATTACCTGCTAACTCAACAATGAAGATTTGTTTATGAATATTCTTGTGCTTGAATTTCCGTACACACCGGCATTAGCATGGAAAAAATATGGTCAAATCCAAAGGAAATCGGAATTTGCTCGCTTAAGCGGGAAATTCATTAGATTTCACCGAGTTAAAATCAGTAGGATTCCACTGTAAAACGTTTTCAACCAGTGGGTTCGTTTCATTCCAGATGCAAAATTCGAGGGGCTTCGTCAAGGTTGAGGGTTTTCATTGCTTTAAACAAAATGGAAGTGGAATACAGATGAGGTCGAGTTATATCTTCACTTCAAAAAAGTGATATGCGTCATGGATCTGTCCATTGCACCATTTTGCAATTCATAGAAATCGAAAGTGAATCATCTCATTGTTTAAGTCCATGCTGACTAAATTTTGTTCGAATGGTGACTTCAAATTATTCGTCATATTTGTTTACGTTTTGCGTTTTAACTTCACGCTTTAACGAATATCTCGCCCGCTGAATTGTAATTTGAAAGTCGGAGCCATGTATGCCTTAGTCCCGTTACTGAAAATACCCCTCTTTCGTTATGAGCCTTCACCGAAGCAACTTAATCATCCAGCCAGATTTGCAAAAAAAGTAGTCCGCCGAAACATCAGTAAAACGAAAAAACGTTTGCTGTTTTGTATACGACCCCGCAGGCGCAGCAAGGCACTAATTTAACAAGAAAGTGTTTCTGTCAAGGACTATCGACTGATTGTTGACCCGCGAAAATTTGATATTATTAAAACAAATTGCCCAGGAAGCGAAGCTTCACGGGCAAATATGTAAGTTTTAAGAACATCAAGTTTCCAGGGCGCAACTACCAGATATATAGCTTCGAGACATAAACTCTATTGTTGTTATTGTTCACCACTAAATTTTCTTCTGCGCGCCGGTTCAAAATTCATATAGGATTATTTTCTACTCCTTTAGATAAAAGGCGTGAAAACCAGATGTAAAATTTGAAAAAGAAAAACAAGCAGAAACCACTTATTACAACAAATTGCGTATTTTATTTTGTTTTTTCTTGTTTAATTAAGCCCGCTTGTTCACGGTCGAATGCTGTCCATCCGGGCATTTTCTTCTGACGGGCGCTATGGGCATGTCTCTCCGCAGATGAACACCATCGCGTCACTAGATCAATTCAAACTAATAAGACTCCGAGAAATTTTGGTTCCCAGAGACCTATTCATGGCCACGGGGCATTTTCCCGGACCAAGGAAACGGCTGCTCGTGATAGAAAGTAGCTATCTCAGAGAGGTGCAGAATATATTAGATACGATCTCCTCTCAAAACGGAAAAATCTCATCTTTTAGACTAAAGTACGCAAAATATATTTCGCATCCCAGACTAGCCTATAACAGATGTTAGGATGGGGAACAGCTTGAAAAACCGCGGGCGGAAAAACGGTGCGCGGAGTTTGAAGGGTGACAATGCCAAAGAACACAGTTTGTTTCCGACCATCTCTCGAGGGATGAAAATATCGCTTTCAAACTTGCGTCCAGATACACCCACATAAGAAGCGAATGAAAAAGGCATGTGTTTCGGACAAGGATTGACCATTCCAAGCTTTAACTGTTCTCGTTTTATGGTGTACAGCCCCGTGTCTCTTTTTCATTCAATTTCTGTATGTCATTTTGATTAATTTTTTCATAGGACGCAATTGAAGTTGGTGGCCGTAATAATACAAGAAAAGCTCTCTATTATCTCCCAATATTCATGATCGCATTTTGCCTGAAGATGTGACAAGAGTCATTTTGATGGATGCTGACTTTTTCTTTTACACTGATATCAAACAACTGTTTGATCACTTTGACAACTTCAAAGATTCAACTATTTTTGGCTTAGCTTATGTGCAGATACCAACCTACAAAGTTGGCTTTAAGGAATACAGAAAAAACCATCCAGGAACGAAGATAGGCGATCCACCTCCCAATGGCGTCACGGGATACAATGGAGGTCTTAGCATGCTTCACCTGAGTAACATACGAAAGTCAAAGCATTACAAACAAATCCTGCTTAACAACGAAATGAAACAATATGCAGTGAAGTACCAATTTCGAGGAACTCGAGCTGAACAAGATTTCTTTGTTTTGTTGGACGTAGAACATCATGATGAGTTGTTTTACGTGGTTCCTTGTCAGTGGAATCGTCAGCTATGTATACAATATACAAGATCTGTCGACTATGAAAAGTATCGTGATTGCCCTGAGCCTATTCATGCCTATCACGGCAACTGTAACGCAAAAATGCCCACGATTGATGATCCTCACCCGTTTGAAGCTGAG